TGTTCGAAAGTCAATCGGTGGGCCGATGTAAATTTTAATGGCGTCTTGTTGCTCTTGCAAAATTGCATTTTTCCTCTCTCCTGTGTTTCGCCTTGGCGGTTTTACTGTAGAAGAAAGATACTTAGGCAGCTTACAATTGTGCATATATATTATTTATTTACAAAAATGGATAATAACATTTTTATTTGACTTTAAAATTCGGAACGCTGTAAATTGGTAACTGCATCATAATGTGTTTTCCATCGAGATCTCCGAAATTGGTGAACTTCTGTCGAAAGAGATGGAGGTGAAGCACACGCTTGAGCACTTAATTTCGGCAAAAGGATAGTAAATCGCTGTGCATCAGCCAGGTTTTATCAACCACCACTCACCAGGTGTGATTCAGAATGGCAGATTTTAAGCCCGTCGCTATTCCAGTGGGTCTAGGTACGAAGCTTTTAAAGAGGGGAGCCCCGTAGACTTCAAATTCCCGTACCATGAACTCTTGGGAATAAGTTGAAACGTTCCTTCAGAAAACCGATTTGACATGTCCGTGCTAGAATACCTGAAATACAAAGTAATTGCATTTTTTCACGATAAACACTTACCGTACTTACGTACCACGTAGTGTGTAGGTCATATTTGAGCTTGTACAGGTACTTTGAACAAATACAAGTGCTTGTAAAGGGTCCAGTAACAAGTAGCCTGCTTTAGAGGTTAAGACAACAAATCCATATATTTCGTTTAGCAACTTACCTGAATAATCATTTCTGTTCATTCCATACGGAGTAACACAAATTGTCGCATTCTCGCTCTGTTAAAACAGGTAAATAGGAATATTACACCCAAAACACGTATAAAATACACCTGAAATCTGTCAAGTTGAATTAGGAAATCGGCCTACCATGCAGTGTTGCCATAATTCTCAGCACGGCTTGTAATTATAGACGGCTGTGATTTCACAGAGTAAAGGTGCATCTGTCAATTCTACCTGTCACAGGTGACTTGTTAAGTCGACCTGGGAATATGGATGAGCAAGTTTTCGTAACTGTCAAGTGACCTGACGCTTGCCGTGAAAGTGAACAGGTCGCAGGTGCATCTGTTCATAGTATGTCTAAGCACCCTATACTGTATTCATTTTAAGAAGGTACCGGTAGAAAGCATAGGGAAACTTTGACCTTCACTGTGATTGGATAAAACACGAGTCAGTATTACAATGAAACACAAAACGACTGGTAAATTTTGTAAGGTGGTAGTTTATGTTGCCAACTAAACTGCCGAAGTGTCATTACTTCTTATTGTCAAAGATTTATTTCTGTTCGCAGTGCTGAATATTTCTACTTTACAATAATTTGGTGCCGTTTTATATTTTTCCTGTGTGTGTTTATCTTCAAACACAGCGCCATCTACTACCTTCTTATAATGAATGCAGTATAGAGGTGTTTTGATAGGTAGACCTCACAGGTTACCTGCGACAGATAGAATACCGAGGCACGTGGCGCAGTGGATGCGCTCACCGATGCTATTCGGAAGGTTGTGGGTTCGAATCCCGCTGCCGACTGCTCTGTCTGGGGTTTTGTCAGGGGGTTTTCCTCAGACATACGTAGCTTCGCATAACGCTAGCATTATGTTGAAATCTACGAGGCGAATGCTGGAGCAGTACTCTCCCCCTCAGCACCCTATCTCCGTTCCTTCCGTTCCCATCCCTAACTTTACCCATCCTAACAATCCCGTTCTCTGGCTGAAGAGGGCCAGGAAGCCCTGAGCAGCCCGCCTCCGGTATCCCTGTAGTCAGGGGTGCCGGAGGAATGAAACACGTTGGCCTTTTTCCTTTTTTTTTACAGATAGAATTGACAGGTGCATCTGCACGTGTGTGGCTACCATAAGCAATTTTACGGTTAAATATGAACGTGCTCCTTTGCTACAAATTTTTTAATGTTCTAGAATTTGGTTTCACCCTGTCGATCTCATTGGAAGTAGATGACCCTCATTGTTCCTTGCCTTGGAGTAAGTCTTATATAGCAGAGTATGAATCCGCTCTTCTAATGCAAACCAATGCAATTTATTTTTAAACACGTTAGGGACCGATTTCACCTCGCGAATTCCACTGTAAGAAGATGATCGCCATTTCTGTTTCGCTTTGGAGTAAGGTATGTTATAGCAAGTATGGTTGTGCTCTCCCGATGCAGATTTTTGAATGGTTAAGAAGAAGAATTGCTTAAACTTAAACTTTTTCGATACATTATTAACAAGGTTCTAACGAGTTCATAATTTTGCGGTGTCTGTCTGTTTGTCCGTTAGCACAATACCTCGAAAGCGAATGAAGCGATTACGATGAAATTTTGCAAGGTGGATTCTTTATTAAATTTGTAGATCGGATTTCGTCAATTGACAATGTAGGCCAAAAAATAAAAAAGTGTTTTAGGCATCTTGCTAGGGTTATTGAACGATTTCGAAGTCCTGTTCAGCGCTTTCCAGAGACAGCTTTCTATGGTTTTTCTTACTTACTTGCTTTTTACGTCTTTCTAAAGCTTTGCAAAGGAACAGGTGAACTCTGAAGAAAGTGGGGTCGAAGTAAATAAATATAGTGCGCGGAAACCAATAATTCCCAGAAACATTCGTCAATTCATAGATAGACGTGTAAATTACCAGATAGAACTGTACATTCCTAGAAGGATGTGTAAACTTTGAAAAATTGGTAATTTCCCAGAAAAATCTCTACGATACATCCGTCACTTCTGATAACGATAGGGCAGCCCTTTCGTAGATAATTCCTAGACAAGGGTGTACATTTATAGTTAGATCTGTAAATTAACAAATATAATTTTATGTCCCTTCTACGGTTCCGTGAACATCAGTTCAAAGTTCAAAGTAATGTTAGATCTTTGATACATATTGTAGCGAATATTCCAGAAATCCCGATAGCTATTGAGGCGTTATGAAAGACGAGTTATCGGCGATAACCAACGAATGTGGATGTGATGCAATTTTTCCGGGAAATATGACGTGTTTCTTCGAGAACATCATAGAATACTCGGAAGTGTTCTGAAGCTTTCGAAAACTTTCAAGAAAGAGGGGGGTTTGCTATATAAGCAAATCATGTTCCAAATTCAACGCCACAGTAATAAATGGTTTGCACTGTTATAAATTGTGTATATGTGAGTGATAAATAATATTTGAACTGTCTAACCCAATTGATTTTAAGACTGTATAAATTTAGTCTTAATTAGTTGTAATAAATAAATTACCTAATTAAATTTACGTTACAATATGTATTTTTCATGGGTTTGTTTGCAAAATGCGTGCTGTCGTAAGTATATCGCAGGAAAGTGGAATATTCACTGCAAATTTCCATTACAGTTTTTATCCCTCATGTTGAAAATAGGTAACTACTTATAAGTTTCTAAAAACCTCCTTATCAAGAATTTAAAGGTGTTTCCATAAATGATCTGTATTGTCAAAATCATGACCGCGAAGGATCTTTTTGTAAAGTCTCTCTCATAAAAATAAAATAAGAAGTATTAGTTGACGTAATTGTCATTTGAAATTTCATGACTTGATTAAACGACACGATATGAATTATATAAAGGACTGCTGCCCCTAAGACGTTCGGATGTGACATGACAAGTTGCTTTTGGGTTAACGCTGTCGGAGAAAATTCGGAATTAAAGGAGCTGCCTACTGTTAGGTGTCTTGTCACATCCTCTATTTATAGCGCACCAAAAAGTTTTTATTTTATCGCCCGTAAACGACAAATCTTATTTATGCGCCTCGCATTTAAAACGCATGAATCAAACTCCAATAGCTCTAAGGTGTATTACACATGTGGTGTTTACCGCGTTAGTGTTTGTCCAAGGGCTCGAAGTCGTTGAGTAAATAGCAGACAATCGACTGTTCGCTCCCCTTTTGCGCCACCCTATATTAGCTGCATTGTTGTAAACACGGAGCAGTTTATTACCAAGTGGTATATAGACACCTGCTATCTGGCTAATTGTGCTGTATCAGTTTATGGAAAGGTGCACTTTTTGGGGCATGCTCGACAATTTGGAGGATTGAATGTCCGAGGAAGCGCACCTGCGAAATTTGCGAATCATTTGTCAGGTTCGTTCTTGAACCGGTGATGGGGGATAATTAATTCCGTGCCAAATAAACGGGGCAGTACAATGTAAAAATTGTTGCAAGATAATTAATTGAAGTAAAACTAAGATCATTTATAATCTCCAGTTTTAATCAAAATATCGATTTGAACCGTAATAAATTATTAATAACGTTTTAATATTAGCAAAGTAAGTCCGGATCTAAAATAAATATGAATTAGGGAGTTGCTGTCCGATACGCGGAATAAGTGCAGTAACTTGCAAAATCTGTATAAACAAAGTTGAACCGTGAATTAGCATAGTGAATTCGAGCGAAGAACTCGTTGATTGGTGTTTGCCGAGGATCGTCTTGCAATGGTCTGCTCTGATTCCGCACTGATTTCGCAGACCGCTGCTTTATTGGCAGACAATTAAGAACCATCGGTATTCGAGACACATTCTCTTGTTTACTGGGTTGATTGAATTTAACGTAGCCCGCGCTTAACAAGCTTTTTCAGAGGAAGAGCAACCGTTAAGCGCCGCCACCTTCTCCATCCAACCATAAAAAGCGAACAGGAGGACTAATCGCTAATCAAAAACTCGATTCTGTTTAAACCAACGCGAAACGACAGAAATCAATCAATCGTCGAGCCGGAATTGTTAACGGAATTATAACGCATGGTTTACGATATCGCTGCACAAACAAACACTCACCCGAAACTAACAATAATATTTAAAGTAGCGATAAACACAGCTAGAGCCATGGCTCTAATTACGCCCGTACGAGAACAGATTAAAATTGCCCCCGCGTAGAATTTAGCGCTGTTGGTTTTATTTATGTTAAACGCAGCCTGCGAGGCAATCAGCGTAATCAATTCTGCTTTTATTTATTGTGTCATCAACTGGAGTGTTTCGGCTTTTACAAACGCCACTTGATTTTTTCAGGTATGGTTTCAAAATAGAAGAGCGAAATTTCGGAAGCAAGAGCGTCTAGCGCAACAGAAGGCCTCGAACAATTCGTCGGATGGGAATAATACACAGAGTAGCGTTAAATCGGAATCGAACGGGCCCAAATCTAGTATTAATACGAAAGACATTAAACCTGGATCACCGCATTCGGGCGTTTCAACGACGCCTAATTCCAACACCAGCGTTTCATCGCATCAATCATCTAATGGTGATATAAAACCAATGAACGGTAATTATCTTTAATTTTTATTTTTGTCGTTCATATCCCAGTAAATTATGGTTGAATATTTGTGCTGTTTTATTTGTGTTATGAAGTGCAGATAAAAGATCTATTCCCAAAAAATTTCAGAAATACGGTTTTATCTTAGGAATTGTCTGTGATCTGTTTGGGTTTTTAAAGAAACTGTTCGAAAGAAAAAATTCACAGATTTCGCTACCCATGCATCGGAAATGATAACTCGGGATCACTTACTCCACTCGTTTGCAAACTCGCTCGTGTCGCAAACGTAAACTTTCTGAATAATATCTAAGCCTCATCATAACATGCTCGTAATCCTATTAAAGTAGATGTGCGAGACTTCTAGATTGGAATTAACAAAACAATTGCGCAGTAAGTATTGAGTAACTACCGCATCGACAGTATCCGTGACTTTTCTTTAATCTACCAATTGCGGCCGAGTGAGGTACAATTAACACTTGAAATACACCACTGTCTTGTTTTCTGCTTGACGAAACTGGTAACTTCGTACCCATATAAGTACAAAACATAAAGAATTTCCCTTGTGTGATGGACGCTTAAATGGACATAGTTGTGCAGAAGCTTACGCTATAAATATATATAAACAAATAATTTTCTCAGCTTTCTGATGGTGCTAAAATAACATTTTTACAATTTGGGAGTTTCGAGTAAATTACATCAACTTTCTTATTTCTTAAGGGCGTTATATCGGATTTTGACATCAGTTGATACAGAAGTAAATTACAAAACCAGTCATAGCAAACACTGTCATTCATTTCGGAATCAACCTTGAATTTTTGCCTTGAACACAACTTATTCCTTATGGCAATAATTCCATGGCTGATTGTGATTGAAGCCAACATTCGTTTATTGTCTCGCATAGTCATCATCATCACCGAAAATTTAATCAGTTCTTCCTTGGGTGATAATAAACATAATGATGAGAATTGGAAATTTCAAAACCGTTCGTGAGTTACCATGTCCACAGACGGATGGATGGACGAACGGACTGACAAAATCATGAACTTGCTTAAGAGCTCGTTAATACGCCTCTGTAACGCAGGCTCATATTATAGATATCGGCACTAAAACGTAATCGATCTGCGAAAGGGGTTTGTGTACCTATTATTTTACGCTAGAGCCTGCAATGTGCAAGAAACTCCTTTCGGACATATTTCTCCATCCAGCCTCTCTTACCTTATGTGAGATGCGATCACCACTCCTGAACTCTAGCAATCGATGACGAATTTATACGTGCACCATATAGTCACAGTAGAAATGCGATAGAATCATATAGATCTTTCTGTATAAGGCAAAAACATTATTTGTTCTGGACGTCTCGATAATGCCCATAGAAACATCAAGTTTACAATGAACCATGGAACCAAGCTTTTAATTTCGTAGACATAACAAATAACAATTGAGGGGAAAACTCCACATTTAGAAATTGCAATCTACAGAAAACCGGTACCAGCAGTCACAAACACCATTTATTTCCTTCCATCGTTTTTCCCAAAAACGGCTTCCATTCACTTATACTTCCACAGGATCTGCAACTTTCATTGAAATCAACAAAATTTCTATACAGAATTAAACATTATCTTTCAGATTGTCGCCCAAAATAACTTAAAATGTATGCTACCCTTTCTCTCTTATCCCCTGCAATTGAACACCTTCTTACACAGGTTTTTCTTCCATTTATTCCACTTATTAAACAAAACACATCAAAATTTCTTCAGTGAACTACGTTGGCCAACAGACCGCAGCTTCAAAATCAATTGATCAAAAATGTAAAAGAACAACCAACGTGAATTCAAACTGGACTAAGCAAGTCATGTCTCTGCTTTAAGCCATTCCTTCTCCAATGATCCTTTCTAAATTAAGCAATTTTGCAATAAAGGTTTAATACTTGATCGAGGCTTGATTGAAAACTCTGATCTGGGTTGTAATTTCGAGTCTGTTAAACACAACATAAAATATTTACGGATGAAACAAGTTTCATTCGACATAAATACGCTGAAAGGAAATTAGACACTCAGGATCAGAGTACACATACCACGCAACAAGCGATCGATTAGACAGATTCACTAAAGAAATATGAATTACCTTAAAGTGTTAATAATCGAAAATATTCGGTCGTAATTGCGATTTTCAATAAACAGAACACAAAAACTAGCTGATGTTACTTCTAGAACTTCACTTCTTTACTCGCACTTGGTTTCGATTTAGTTGACACTGAGTTCGTTGTAATTTTAGATGTAGACTCCTTCTAACTGTTACTTGGAAAGGCTCCAGATAAGCAAGATAGACACAACAGTTTAACTTAACTTCTTCGTAAACGCTTCCGCTTAACTCGACTTAAACATTTTTTTAAACGACGTATTAGATAAAATTGGACAAAATGGACAATCATCTATAAAACTGTAGAATTTGCAAGACAAACAAATACGCTCTAATACTGCCGAACAGAAAACCAACGGTTACGTTTTAACGTCCACCAATAGAAAAAAAACAACTATTAACGTCCACCACCAAACAAGTCCCCATTTACGTATTCCTCTACTATTTAAAACCTTCTCCCCTAGCTCACTTTCCACCTCTTTTCCACTTGAATTTGCGTCTTCGATATTAAACACCTGTGTTTTCTTATCGGCGAAACCTGTTTTCTTCAAACTAATTAGCTCACGGAGCGATAACAATATTTCTTGCGAATCTCGAGGACCGTAGGTTTTCTTCACGAATCCTAATTTGGTCTCAAATGATGAGAGACGTCGTGAGGGGAAGGTGAAAGGGTAACAGCTTCTCTTACCTTATGTGAGATATGCACCATATAGATACCTGGTAGTGTCACACTAGTTGAAATGCTATAGAATAATTTAGGAGACTCAGTAGCCTCGGTTAACTTCCCAAAATTCCCAAGAAATTAATTAACACATAAGGTACCTTGACCAAAAAAAAAACTGAAACGTGAGAACTCCATCTGGATGGTACAATGGATTCATATAAATACACAATTAATTGAGACAAAGACAAAATAATTTATTTCAAACTCGTACGCCAAAACTGCTGAAAAGAAATTAAATAAAGAGGGACACAAGCCCGTTAAATTTACCCCAAAAACAGGTGGTCGATACAAATATACAAAGAATGTCTTCAAATTACTTAACACTTAGCACTGATACAAAAAGACTCGCTGAAAGCTTCAGGAAACTTCACCACTTTTCTACTCCATTGAAACAAGGATAACACAAACTAATTTAATTAACACAATTTCTAATTTTCAATGCGATGGCTGTTCAAATGGGAAAACACTTTGATAACACCAGCGTTACTTTTTCCTTAAACGGACAAACCACATTACTTTCTTACAAAACTTAACTTCAACTGCTTCTGCACTGACTAATCCAATATTGAAGAAACTGGGATTTTAAACAAACAGAAATAATAATTCCTTGGCAAGTATCTTTCTTACATAGGTGCATTTTCCATCGACGTTGACACGTTGAACACAGCATCAGACACAGCCGACAGATGACTCTCCAGAAGATGTCGACTCGAAACTACGACAGTGTTTCGAGAAATGACCGACTTTGTCACACTTATGACACGAAATATTTTTCTTGGGACACACCGAAAAATGTGGTTTATCATCAACATGACCACAACCGAAACATTTGGACGACACATCAGTACGCTCTGGAACCTTCTTTTCTTTCTGCGGAATTGACGGCGTTAGACAATTCAAAGTTTGACTTGAGCAGTACGCGGCAATTTAAGTTCCTTATACGCTTTGATAGAGACTTTTTAATTTAAACTCGGGCCATGCTCCCATACATCGTAGTAGGCAAGCATCAATTATTACTCTAAAACGATTACAAAGAAGTGTTTTCCTTGTGATGTTTGAATTTGGCATTTCCTCATGCTTACATTTTGAAAGAAATGTTGCTTTTGAGCAATGTACATTGAGCAAGGCGAGATCGAACAAAGGACGTGATATCTCCTAAATAAAACTTAAAAGTGAAAACGATCTATAAACCCGCTTCAAAGATGGAATTTCCAGTCCGCGTCATTTCCACTTCAACAACTCCACAATGAAATAAAAACCGCCAAGAAAAAGTTAAGGTTTTACTTCATAATGAAAGACGTCGTGAATGACCCATTTGATGAATGTACCACTCGGTTGTTTGATTGTGTTGTTTCATTTTTTAGAAAGTTCCCTGATTGGGAAAGTGGAAAGCTGTGAGTTCCAAATGTTTGTACTAAAACTGGTATAGTAAAATGATAATATTGGTGTTGTAAGAGAAATGTATCTAATCGATCAATATCCTGCTTTAATTATATTTATTATTAAATCCAATACTTACCCTGAAAAGCTACTAAGATTTTGAATTAAGAATACTGGAATACATTCTAAATTAAGCAAAATTTTCCAATTTATTGCACGCTCGTCGACTGAATAGTGTTGCTTTTACTCGAAATCTTCGTCATTTTAAAAATTACAGGACGAAAAAAAGAACGCTGCTTATAAAGCGACATGAATCGTAAAGAAAAAAAGGCGGTGTAATAAGCAGTCGTTCCAAAAACGAGCAGCCACATAAGAAGCTGCTATCAAGTAATATGACATCAGATTGTTCTCCACTCCGGCAGACTCCTGCGCGCCAACTAAAGAGTTGACAGTAATGGAAATAAATGAGTGGTAGCGGGCAATTTTCTAGATTAAATGTCAGAGTGGCGTGGCGTTTCTGTCCTGCGACCGAGCTCAGAAACGCAGCCCTCTCGGTTATTGGGAATGAATAACACATATGAAGTATTTTGATACTCGCCAGCTGGTCCCTAGATTTATCTCCAGAATATAAAAATAATATTGTCTCGTTCGATTCCACAAAATACATATATATTTTTGATATATTACTATCGAAACTTACATATACCCTAGCCTGGAATTTTCATCTGAAATTATGGCTTTCGCTGTACAGATCGTCGAGCGATTGTGTTTGGGACAAGCGCCATTTTTGTACGCAAGTTTCACGTTCATTTTAACTAACATGTAGGTACATTGTTTTAATGGTATCTAATTAGCGGTCTATCTCAGAATTACTTGGGATAGCAATAGATGAATTTGTGTCATTGTAGGACTAAATAGCAATATTAGCACTATTAGTGCTGGCTTTCTAAAGACATTTAGGTGTACCGCCTTTTCAAACGTTGTGCGGGTATATCATTAAAAATAATTAACATAAATAATTATTAACATTTGAATAGCTTCTAAATATTATCCAAAATCTAATCTAATACCAATTTCCTAGCAAAATATATTATAATTCCAGCATTATGTAATTAAACTTAAGTACTAAGCTATCATTTTAAATTTTCTTTCCCTTTTTGTTTGTCACTCCGGTCCGGTTTCACTCTATTTTCACGCACTTCTATTATTTAATTATTTACACTCCGCACTAAATTTGGTACTTTTTCTTCTACTACGCGATATATATATTTTCTCGTTGGTAAGTTGGTTATGGATTGTGTATTTCTTAACACTCTTCAATGTTCAATTGTTCACATTCACATACAATTAAGATAAATAAATTATACAACTTTCAATCATATATATGCCATTATTGAACTGTATAAATGTCTCCTAGGTTTCAATTTGATAGAATTTTTGGTTGTTTCAACAGTTCAGCGATACCAGGTTGATCAGACCTAATGTCGTTGTTCGTTGTATATATCTTGGGTTCATGATTTACATTTTTATATCGTGATCGTTATAAAGCGTTAATTACAGTTTTATTAACCGCAGATTTGCATAAGTTGTGTAGTTTAAAAGATCGATTCGTGATAAGCCATCGACGACTACGTTTGACTTCCATTTAACACAACAGTGAAATCGTATTTTTCTAAAACTAATATAAAATTTGGTTAGTATTATAAGTAGTGCAATTCATACTTAAAATGTAATATAATGGTCTAATGGAGGGCAGAAGGTAAAAACTATTTCTAATTATTAAGTTAATACACTCTATGAACTCGGTTGCATACTAACATAAACATAGTAAAAACCTAAATGATCACCTCCACAATCAAGCTAATCTTCGTTTTATAATAATATTGGACTAAATAGGTATATTAATATTCTTACATTATTACTTCTAAGTTGCTGATACATTTAAATGGGAAGGATTATCACTGAACCCTAACATAATATGATAAAAAATAAATAATTCAACTAATTCAAAATCCCCAGTTAAGTTCTATTAAAATATCCGCCGTGTGCCCCACGTTGGGCGCCAAATAGAAATGCTGTGTGTCCTATGTTGGGCGCCAAATAAAAAATGCTGTGTGCAGTGGCAAATCCTCCCTCAAAACACCTGCCCCCGCACAAAAACAATTAACATGAAAATCCAGGATCGTAATTTGGGCTCAAACCAGGGCTCAAACTGATACAAAACTGCTCATTTAAACACTACACAAACTTATTCGATAATTGCAGCTGTAATAAATAGTGGCGACAGTACCAACGACAATTACCAAGCTAAAAGCACTCAATCAAAACATGTTAAATAAGTTTTAATTACATTGTAATGTTAATAGTCCAACTACTTTCTTACTAACTTTCTTCTGTTACATTTTATAATAACAAAAACGGACAGTCTTTGGTACGGAAACACAGATTCAACAAATAGGACTGACACTACCTAACGGCCAACCCACGGTGGCGGCGGCGGCGAAAAGGCCAAAAGTGAATGGAAAATGCCAACGGCGAAATGGAAAAAACCGCGGCCATAACACCTCCTTCTCCATTTAACACATTGTCCTACCCTGTCCCATCTTCGATTCCACTTCCTTCTTTTATTGTTAACGTACGCACAAATCTTATCTAAAACGCACCATCTGTTTGCAAGTCAATTAACTTTTAGCGATAAACGCAACTCTTATCTACGACCAGAGAAAAATATGAGATAAACTCGAGGATAAACTTTTCAAATATTACACAAAATAATTTCGAGATATGTAATTTACAATGTAGCTATAAACAAAAATTAGACATCGTCCAAACTACGTACATTAACACAACAATACATAAAATAGAAACATTGTTAGCTAATCGAATACCCGTAATATCCTAAGGAGTGTTTCTTTTACAATTTAAATTGCTTAAACCAATAAAACACAGGATGAGCTATTTGTCAATAAGCTAAAATTGTTATGATACCTACCCAGTTACCCTTAAGAACACTTAAGCTTGAAATGCAATAGAATAACCAATTTTACAATACTTTCTAATTTTATTTGTCTCGTCTGAGGTAGCATCTGTCTCTATAAAAGTCGGCTTGATTAAAAATCCCCCAAGGTCCAAGCTCGTATTCGTGGCATATGAAGTTTAGAGGAAAGGACAATGGTCTCGAATCTGTAGATAAATTTGTCTTACTGTCCACCCTAAATTGAATAGGTTCTCTACGTGTTTTAAACGGCTTCAGTTTTCCTTAGGTTCATCTTATTTGGTAATGAATTAAATGCTGCTGAGTTTAGAGGTATAACGGTAGATTAGACTGGCGTTGCTTGAACTCAAACCGCCACATAAACGGCCAGCTGGTTGTAGAATACAAAGGGTTGAGAATCCTCACAGAGGTTGATTCGGTTGGGCATACAATCTTCGACGCTCTTCGCAACTTACTATAGAGTTGAGCGCCTCTCAGTTTGTAACTTAACTTTCACTGTATAAAACTGGAAAGATACCAGAAATTTTTTTTTATTTATTTGCCTTTATTTTTGAGTGGGCGGGGTTTCAGCCCAGGCTGCTCTACCAACCCAACCCACTATACATTTAAAAATTTCAATGCCCGAACCCGGATTCGAACCAGGGACCCTGAGCACCACAGTCCACCTTCAACTGAACTGCGCCACACTAGCCGGTAATGATATATTGTTCTTCAACAACAAACAGAACCAATTCAACCAATTAATTGCCTTCTTCCCCTAATACAAAATATTCTCAGATATCAAAAGTAGTACATTAAAATTGAACCTGGACCCCAATAAATTCCCAGAAGAAAAAACAAAGTTGATGTTGGTTGACTCTAGACGAAACGTCAAATTTAACATTTAAAAGTAGCATCTTGTAGAGGGAAAAAAGTAGCCTTAATAATGGGTCATTTATTTCGAAATATCTTTTTAAAATAACTTCAGTAAAAAATAAAAACTATTTTGCAAAATTTCGTTTTTTTCCGGATATCTTCGAAATACGCAATAAACCCGTAAGATTTCGATACCTTCCTCAACGAAACTCCAACTTTTCTTTAATTCTTCCTCTAATTCTAGCTATCCCTTTCAGCACCTCCCTACTTTACTTCAACTGCTTCTCCATTTCCAGTAATTTCAAATATTCTGTTAACTTCCCTTAGCTAATTGTTCTTTTGTATATCTTTCTTCTTCCCTTTTTGCAACTTAAGCTGAGTTGCGTTGCTGTAGTTATTATTTTAATTTTTCGTCTTGCAGTGATGGAGTTTCCTTTGAGACTTTAAAGCAATATTCTCCGTTCTCTCTTCTTGCTTCCTTTCAAATTTTAAATTTGACTCTTTTAATTTCATAAGATCTTGTGTTTTAGCTAATAGGGTGATTTTAATCTTCTTCAATTTCTTCATTAACCTGTTATAATTTTTGAATCAACTCAATTAATTTTTTATTGCAACTTTCATTGGTTTCATCAATTTTCGTTTGTAATACTTCTACTCTGGTATGGTCTATCGGTTGAATTACCTTCTTCTGTAAGGTGCAGATTAAAAAAAAATATTCTAGTAGAAATGACAAGGTTTCGTTATTCCTGTCCTGGAACTATAGGAGTGAATTGCTCTTGCAATTCCCGAAATCTTTAATTTCTTTGAAGAATCAATTTTTAGAAACCTGCATATTGATATTCTCTTTAAACATTACATAACTGATGATCCTGTATCTAATAAATACAGAAAGTACTTCGCTCTTGTGGAAGCGTAAAAAATCACAGTTTTAACGTGAATTTTCTGCATATTGGGTGCGTTTAAGATCCTTAAAACTAGTAAGTATATATTTTGGTGCATTCCATTAGTAAGCTACGCTATAAAACTGATTCCTCAATTTTTGGTCATACGGAACCAGTACTACGTATATGTTACAATATTCGGCCACTTGAAGCCCTTTTTAATCGCCATTATGTGTTCCCCTACCATTCATGACTTAATTTGATGTACCTTTTACATAGTTTTCCCTCGTTAGTACAATAGCTCTTGCAAAATGCTGTGTGCAGAGTACAGTGCAGCAGCACTTAACGAATTCTCTGCAGACCTCTGACTCTTCCGATATTCTGATCCAAATTGTATGGAGGATTTTGTAAATAGGGATGGCATCAGTCCGGTCCGCCTCGGTTTTTTGAACCGGACCGTAATGTGAAATGGTTCAGATCGGACTGAGGCTCGAACCGTGAAAATCGGTGGAGTACCGGATTGATTTCGGATTTGGACTAAACGATTTATACTTTTTTTGTTCCTTTAGAGTATTCAGAGTATTTAACTAACAACTGATCTCATTTTCCTTTTCAGGTAAATTATCAGAAGATTCATTAGGCTCAAACAATAACAAATGGTCATCGATGAGTCCACAATCCTGCAATACCGCTCTACTGGTCCATCAAGCCAACAAAGTACTCTCATCTCAGCCTTCCCACCTTCAGCTCCAAACACACAGCTCGCATCACGCGGCAGCGGCCGCCGCCGCAGCTCTCTCCGCCCCATTCTCTTCGCTACTTGGTGCGAGCGGCGGTGCGGCTTCGTACCTTCTAGGCGATCACCTTAAACCGACGGCCGCCACAAATCACCTATTCTAAACAAAATCCAATATTAGATCTAATATGTATGTTATAAATAGGAAGATTCCATAAATAATACTTACACGATCCTCAAATCCGTCTTCGAATTCGAATTTATTGTTACAATATTTATTTTGTTTATATAATAAAAACCGTATACGAAAGGACATGGAATATTGGCGGCATGGGTTTGCTTATAAATAGATTATTTTCATTTTAGACGAGCAGACGCCTTTTGAATCACTTTATAATTCCAAGATCTTGAACTGAAAATAGATCTGCACTCATGCACATTGAAAATGATCTCAAAAGGACGTCTGAAAGATTGCTCGTCAATGTAGGTTAGAATGTGGTCTTGAGGACCTATAAGTGGTGTAAATAATTTGTAAAAAACTGATTGAATGAAAATTTTATAAATGCAATTGTAAATAATGTGTATAAGGTACCGTAGGTACATTTGTTCAATTTAATAATGTGGAATTTCACATAAATTCTAATATAATTCTAGTCCGTTACGTAAACAGTTTTATGTATAAAAGTATGAAAGTAAAAACATTGTCTGTACAATTTTCCATTATTGTCCCAGAGGAGCTTTGTAAATAAAGTTTATGGGTCAGAATCACCAAGGACTTCTAATTTTGAAGGCTTTACTTTCGATTAATTAAAGACCTACGGCACATCAAAGAAAACCTATGACGCAAACTGATCATAGCTGGTTTGACGGCCAGTCAAAGGGTACCATATTCTGATGGGTGGATGGAACCAACCTACCATGTTTCACAAGAAGAATATCCCTACCAGCTGAGTTAGCCAAGAGTTAAACTTATACTAGTAGATAATAATTAGCAGAGCAAACAGAAGTGTAACCACTTCCCAACAACAAAATAGTTTAAAGCATATTCCCTGCCAGTGTCGGGAGTATTGCAAAGATCACAAGAGGTAGGGGTGAAAAAGAAAGTTTGATTGTGATAGAAAAGCCGGACAAATACAGAAATACACAAATAAACGAAAGTTCGTACTTCCTGGTTAAAATTAACTATCATGTTTCTGCGCAATTGTATTCTATAACACAGTTATTCCTGCTAACGAGCTCCGGAAATCGTTGGCTCCAATCTGTCGGTCTTAACTCTTTTAGCGTTGATAAGTTTATTTCAAATAGCTTTACGTGATTAAAAACGCAAAATCAGGACGAGATCATTCCCTGCTAGTAGGAACGCCAGCTTACATCAAACGCATGGGATGATGATGAATGGTCTAACTCGCACCTAATTCGCCACAGGGACGTCAATTTACAAAAAGTTAGGTAGGGATTAATCTGGAGAGATTTTTTGACGGGGTGTAAGTGGAAGAAAACGAAACTTTAACTTTAACGCGTTCCGTCGCATGAACACAGCTATATTCGGTCAAGGACAAATTAATTAACGTGCTTTGCAACAAAGGATTATTGTTAATGTTCATTGTCGGAATATTTACCCGCGAAATCAACACGTACGTATTTGGAAAAACATTACTAAAAGTAGAGTGACAATTTTGCGTAGTTTTTCCTTTAAGGTAATTCAAATCGTTCCGAATGATTGAAAAACATCAACAATCCTAGTCGAAGAAACAGTCAAAGATATCAATCTATTGGACGAATTGCTGCCGTTTATAATAAATGACTACCATTTTTGAATTTGTTCATTTAAAGTTTTTAATAGACTATTTCTTCTTTGCAAAACAAACTTATACAAATGAAATTATTATCATGTAAACTTTAAGGTTTACAAGCCTGAAGGTATATATCGCGTACGGCGTTTGAAATTGGAGCTTAAAATTTACAGTTTGAAGTTCATTAAAAGTCCAAGTTTAAAGGTCTATTCCGGAAACTTAAAAAGAAAGAATATAGAGTTCAAGATTTGAGGATGAAGGTCCTAGACTAGGTCCTAGATTCGAAAGCATTTAAATTGCAAAGAATAACTTTGAGGTTCTAGTAACCTTCGTGGATTTATGGAAGGTTTAGCTCTAGAGTGTAAGTAAATCTAAATGGTGAACACAAAAATTTAAACATAAAGGTCGAAGGATCAAATTTAGAAATTTGAGGTAAGGTTTAAAGTGCATGGTTTCACTTTTTGGGGTTCTCGGCGATGGTAACGCAAATTAAGATGGCACTGCTTTTTCTCAAGTTGATCGCATAAACTGTAGCTCAGGGATGATAATGTATAACAGGGCATGAGATACTCCACAGTTGTTAGATCGTAAGGCATATAAAATCTTCGTAAACTTACTAGTATCTTACAAAAAGTTGAGCGCCAATCAGTTTCTTTTAATTATTCGAGTTTCCTTCGTCCTCGTATGAAACGAAAGTATAGAAGGAACGCGATAACATATGATAATTGCAATTTCCCGCAACAAAATAATCCAATGGTTTATCTAAAATTAATAAAATTCAACAGTAATTACCAATCAACTTGTTACAAAATAAAACTTTACATCCCTAATTCGTGATCGTTAAGTAACGGCTTTATAAAAATCCCAAAAATGTAAAATTATTATAACAAATTGGCGCCGATAATGAAAGTAAAAGTAGTATCCTATAAAATAATCAAAAATCTTATGTTTAATGAAGAAATCGTGGGGAGACACGCTTCCAGCAACTCACCCCAATACAAATACAAGAAACCCGAGTTATAATTCACTCGACCCTTGAAATGAGAATGGTTTGAGAAGTACTACAGAAAAGAAACATTTGTTTCAAAGCTTCCTCGAAAACAAACGATAACAAGGAAAGCAAGCGCGAGTTGCCACGATCTCTTGGGACCTAAAAGTGTTGTTTTCCATTGTTTAAAGCAGAGCAGGGGACGAAAATATGTGTTTTATATTGGTTGTTAGAAAATAAGTCCCTTTTCGGTTTTTCCCGTGGGCGAAAGAAGTGGAAGAGCGGAAGATATTAAGTTGGTTTTCGCGGGCGGTCAGGTCCTACGTAAGGTACGCAAAATTTAATTCTTGGAAAAATTGCGAGCCAGTACCAATCCCAAATTGTTAATGTTAATTTATTATTATTGGTCTATTTCGCGTCAATACAAAAGATTTTAGTTTTAACTTCAGGAACGACTGCGTATAAATATATATAGGTGTGTGAAACCATTATTTCACGGTCGGAATTTGTAACTGACCTGCAAGAAAGATCCTCGCGTATGTGTGAAGGTTCGTGGTTATAGGTTCAAGAACCAGAACGCGGAATTAATTAATAAAATCTATTTGAGTAGCTGTTTAACTTCGAGTAAAAGACATGTTAAGTTTTGAGTACGTCATGGAGGAACAATTAAACAACTTCGGATTTGTGAAAAATTGCGAGGTACCTCCAATTTTACATGTCTGCTGATTCGTAGCGAGTCTTTTTATTTACAAGTGACAAAATGTCCGCGAAGGAACATTTTTGAGTCGGAGTTAAAAAACGGGATTAAATAAACAGCTTGGAATTCATTGTGATAAACAAAGACATTCCTTTTTTCCGGATTGCTAACAGTACCGGCTGGTTAAACGATTTGAAATAAATACAATTAATCGGTACCTATATTCAGCAATACGTATAGACTTTTTTTGCATTCAACACAGAGTCAACTGCACCAGCGAAGCCATTTGTTTTCATATTTCTAAAGGAAATTATTATATTCTTTTTGTTTGTATAAATTAGTGGCAGAGCTGGGCAGAATACTTTCAAAAAGTATTAATACTTTCAAAGGTAGGTATTCGAATACTTTGAAAAGTGTTAAAAGTTACAGCCCTTTGAATTTTTTTTCGAAATTGGTTTTTTTAGGCCCGAAAAAAAAATTATCTCAGATCGACCCGGAAAAAAAATTTCTTATAGAATGTGACCTGTAGAATCCATGAATTCAAACAGTTCCAAGATTGGGCTACTAGTTCACCCTTTGAATTTTTTGTCGAAATTGGTTTCTAGTCCATAACTTTTGATTGAGAAGTCTAATCGAAAAAGTACGAATTTTTTTGGATTCTAAACACCAAAATTAATAAGAAAAAGTGATTTCCCGAGAAATTTTGGTGCAGTCGATTTTTGGTATAAAAATGAAGGTTTATACACTGCCTTTTTTTGAGGCCCGAAAAAAAAATTGTCTCAGATCGACCCGGAAAAAATTTTTCTTATAGATTGTGCCCTGTAGAATCCACAATTTCAAACAGTTTCAAGATTGGGCTACTAATTCAAAAGTTACAGCCCTTTGAATTTTCTTTCGAAATTGGTTTCTAGTCATAACTTTTGATTGAGAAGTCTAATCGAAAAAGTACGAATTATTTTGGATTCTACGCACCAAAATTAATAAGAAAAAGTGATTTCCCGAGAAATTTTGGTGTAGTCGATTTTTGGTAAAAAAGGAAGGTTATACACTGCCTTTTTTTGAGCCCCGAAAAAAAAATTGTCTCAGATCGACTCGGAAAAAAAATTTTCTCATAGAATGTGGCCTGTAGAATCCATAATTTCAAACAGTTCCAAGATTGGGCTACTAGTTCAAAAGTTACAGCCCTTTGAATTTTCTTTCGAAATTGGTTTCTAGTCTATAACTTTTGATTGAGAAGTCTGATCGAAAAAGTACGAATTGTTTTGGATTCTACGCACCAAAATTAATAAGAAAAAGTGTTTTCCCGAAAAATTTTAGTGTAGTCGATTTTTGGTAAAAAAGGAAGGTTACGTTTTCAAATACTTTGCGAAGTATTCGAATAGTAAATATTTGTGAAAGTATTTGAGTTACAAATACAAATACTGCTTCCATTAAAGTACTTAATTACAAAGTATTTGAATACTTTAAAGGATTTGAATACTAAAAAGTTTTTTACAAAATCGAATACTGCGTAGTGGTAGGTTAATTTTAAGAAGTAATTTTATTTGAAGTAATTTTCATATTCCTAAAGGAATCGACCCGTGAAAATTATTCGCTTGAAATAGATTTGTTAAGAGAATCGAATCGAATGTTTCGTATTTAGGGGTGTATGTATATTTTAAACAGGAGAAGGTACCAGGAATTTATTATGTACAACTAAAGTCATATGCTTATTTATGAAAGTTCAATGAAACCAGAGGATTAGATTTTGAGAGGAAATAATATACCAAACGTTCGTAAGGTAAGGGGTATAAAAACATTCTTATTACTTGGTTAGGGGTGAGTAAGCTAAACATTAATTGTCACATTCAAATGTTTGCCAGTGTCGTAGAGGTCTAATTTTATCTTCAACCCTTGTAAATGTTACAAAGCCGTTATACGACCTGCATAAGTTTTCAGGTGTGTCCTTAGTGAAAGAATCCAAATTTTAGAACCTTCTCGGAAGTAGTTTTCCAATTTGTATTCCTGGTTTGTTTATTAAAAACATGTCCTCTATCGCCTAATTTCTTTACATAACTTATGTTATGGCCTGAGCAAGATAGGGGCGAATGGGTTCGGAACCTGTTGCATTCATAGACCTCAACATGGCGTACGTGCTAAAAGTACTGGTATTTTTCGGCTTTCGTCTTATAAAAGTAGACGCAACCAAAACAAATTTAGAGGTCGTGTTGCGAGGGAAAATCTTTAATTTGCTTCTGAAGTGTTCTGTGACTATTTGCAGACCTGAAGCGCCCTACAAGAGACGGATAACAAAAGCCATTTTGTGTTATAAATGCGATGTACTTGGGAACCATAGCTGCGTTTGGGCAAAAAGCACAAAATCACCCAGATTCCTCATCATCAACTGTCCAGGTTTCGATCCCTTAATCATCATGATGTCATAGCGAATAAGAAAAGACGTGTTGTTTGCGAAACAGAAAGACAAGTGAAGCCTATATTCATTATAATTCACCTTCAAGCGGAGTGTTTAAAAAACTGTGTTTTCGTGGATTGTAAAGATGTGGCCAGCTGCTATTAATTTGTCGTTAAGTAACGGACGTCGATAAATTTAGCCAACAAGGTGAGAAAATGATAAACTTAGGTTTAACGTAATATAGCAACCACTTTTGTCAATGATTAATGGATCAACACTTTAACACTTCTTTGTCCTTATGAACATCATATGAAGGTATTCATAGTTTTATATACTTACTTACTCAGATGCTTGGCTAGCCACTGGCATCGCTCTCGCGTCAAGTTTAGTAAATAAATGAGGTAGGCATGTGCAGAATTAAATTGTTTACGTAAAAGTTACCTACTTATATATGTATCCCTTTACATTTTTTCTAGAACAAAAAGCTGTAAATGAATAATAACCTAAATACGGTATCTAAAATGTTAAATGCGTGGGGTTGTTGCGTCGTGACGTGGTGTTGGAAGGGAGAGGTAAATTTATTATAAACGATGCTCTCTATATAAGCGTCCCAATATTTGGAAAAGTTCAGTTTTTAATAGTCCGGCACGCAAATTTGTAAAGGACAGATATCACAATGTCGTTGGAACGCCAAGTTCGCGCTAAAGTAAGTTTACGTTTACTTTAATTAGTCTTGCTAAGGTAAAAAAGTGCAGATTGCCGCAAAACGCAACCCAGAACAAGACAAAGAAGCGCAAGAATGGATTGAGACCGTTCTTGGAGCCAAATTCCCCGCAGGGCAATTGTACGAAGATGTCCTCCGCGACGGAACTGTTCTCTGTCAACTCATCAACAAATTGGCACCTGGATCCGTTGCCAAGATCAACACCAGCGGTGGACAATTCAAGTTCATGGAAAACATCAACAAGTAAGTGTTGAGCGCTTTCAAACATTCCTCAGCGTAACATCTCCTTTTATAGCTTCCAAGCCGCACTAAAAACTTATGGCGTAAATGATGTCGATGTATTCCAAACCGTAGACTTATACGAAAAGAAAGATATCGGTCAAGTGACAAATACCATTTTCGCTCTTGGCAGACAGGTACGGCACCGCTAACTGGAGCGTCAACGAAACACCTGCCCTAATTAATTATTTGCAGACCTACAAACACTCCGAATGGAAGGGACCATATTTGGGACCTAAACCATCCGATGAAAATGTACGCGACTTCACTGATGAACAATTAAAGGCCGGACAAACAATTATTGGTCTACAAGCCGGATCCAACAAAGGCGCAACCCAAGCCGGCCAAAACATCGGCGCTGGACGTAAAATCTTGCTTGGAAAGTAAATTTATTTTTAACCAAAATGTATAAAGTATTATTTTTATGTATTTAATTAAATTTTCCAAGTAGTTGCGCATTTCTTAGGAATGTGTGAGCGTGCCAAAATATTTGGGGCGTGGAATATGGGTCGCTCACGCAAAATCAAGTATTTTAAGGATTTCCAAAAACGTGTAAGAAAGGCGTTTAAAAATAGCTCGCGCTCAAGTTTGGATAGCTGTATATTTCATATTCGAAACTGTTAACTAACCACCGCCATATAAAGTCTGTATAGTGACGCATTTTTGAATATTGCTTACGTTTAATTTTCATAGTCCAAAAATTTTTACATACGCGTATCTTCGATATTATTCCGATAGGAATTGCTGGTTAGTAACGCCATCTAAAGGGGATTGATATGAAGCGACTACGACGCTAAACGCCGTCGTGCAAGCGTCCTATTGAGCGTCGCCGTTCTACGAGGCGCTGTATTACGGTAATCTTGTTTTGAATCTAAGAATGAATTGAAAACAGTTTTCTTTAAATTAAAACGATTTTCTCTGATCTATTCTGTTATTCGTAAAATGCATAATTTGCTCATTTCCTTAGTTTCCTTTATTGTCCAGTCGGTGACACCAACTTTTCGGACTGTAGTAAAAAAGTTGTCGTAAGCAATGATAGGTGGAGGGAAGACAGAGGTGTTTTGTGGAAAACGAAACATTACGATAAGCGTTTTTGGAACAATTTCACATCAGTATCACTTTTCGCAATAAAAAGCAGCTGAACACCTATACAAATGAAAGTACGTGCAGTTTGTCGTACCGGAGCCATTAATGTAAGGTGTATTTTCTCAAAATTTCGAATTCTGCAGTAAAAAATTAGAATGTATAGTTTTAGGAACGGATGGACGAACAAAGTATCCACAAAAAACTTGCTTAGTCCTTTCAAATCAAGTCATGATCAATGCATTTTGAGGTAACGTATAATCATAATAATGAATAATAGCACAAATAATTACTATTTCACATAACTGTCATTACATAATGATCTAATTTTGTAATGTGAAACGAAATGTACTATGGAAGGAGTACTTATAGCGTATAAAACCACCAATATAGGCAGCAATAAGAAACTAAAATCCAGAGGTAAAAAGAAGAGCGAAAGTTACAAAGTTGAAAAAGAGCATACGGTGAAAACATTCATTTATTTAAAAATTACCCGAGCAAGTTCTGCAAATAATTTAAACTGAGGCATCAAAAGATGCCCGACAAGGGAGAAGTTCACGGACGGACAGACGGATACCATCCCCCAATAAAGCTTACATCGCTTTGCTCTGCCGCTTAATAATTTCTTTTTTTTTTACAAAAAGTAGTCATGAGGGTTAAATGCATAAATTTAGTTCAAAACTTCCCCGTTCTATTTAACTTGCGGCCAAACTGAGCAGATGAGACACTGGGGAAATTTTCGGGGGTCCTTCACTCCGGAAGTCACCTCAAACGTAAAATGGCGTCTTACATTTGAGCACCGTAATATAATCAAATGACAGAACACCGTCACTTTCAGTTATAGGTATCACAATTAGCAAATTTGCTGCTTTTGGCCCTTGAAATATCTATAATGGGTGTGACAAATAAGTGCTCATAGAAGACCAGAACAAATATTTTTTACAAATAAACCAATGGCCCAAAAATGTTTTTTTTTAAGCTACGTCTCCCAAAGTCTCAAATTTGCGTTTCATCTTTATTTTTGTTCAGCACACAGCTCACAAATGAAAGGATGGAACTAACAGCGTTATGTTGATCTTTGGGACCTTTTTTATAATGGCCCCTTATTATACTCAATTTTATCACACAAATAATTTTAAGTTCAACACAGAATAATACGGGGTGTCCGAAAAGTTGCTGTGCTGCAAAGAGCGTTTAGGTACGTTTGTATTGCATTGGTAGACACTCCCTCTCCAATGGGCCGGGTCAGTCAGACAAGCGAGGGAAGTGAGATTCAAGCTCACTGTTTCTTATTTACTTCACTTAGTTATAGACTAATGTGCACAAAAGTGCGAGGTAGTCGATTGAGCACGTGTTCCGTAATGGTGGTAAATTTACGGAGACCGTACAGCAAGAATTCGTAGTCCAATTTCCTGATGAACATGTCCCTCTTGGTAACCAAGTGAAATAGGTAGTGTTGCAAACGCCATGCGAAAAGAAAGGCTTTCGATATCAGAAGAAAGAGTTTTTAGATCTAGGGCATGGTGGTGTGGAGTCCCTGCAAATTAGTAAGACGATTATCTGTACTATAAATATTAATAAAATGAAACCTACATCAAACGTTCTGTTTTTTGTTACTGTACAGTAACTTTTCGGACACCCATTATTTGAATAATGAGATTTAATAACAAATGAAATATGTTTTTGAAGCGACTACTTTTCGCTCGGTATGCACTATATATTTGGACGGGAGTAAAATCATCTCATGCGTAACACCACAGAATATAAGGTACGCTTCTATATTCTGTGGTCGTCACGCGTAACGTTCGGCAACTGAAGGCGAGCTCGGCCTGGTTCACAATTGTTTAAAGTCCATTTGAAAGAAAACATGGCATTAAAATCGTCGATGTGTCTTTGAAATTGTCTAACGTACAGTGCGTTCGAGTGTAACGAAGCACTAGGAATTTCTGCGTGGAGTTTGCCGTTTGCAAGGACCACCCTGTATAGTAACGATTTGTTTGAGCTTCGTTAGTAGAAAACCGTAATTTTGGGAAGTTTCCGCAATGCCATGGAGACAAGGAGATACCGTAATTAATTAGTCCGCCTACACCCGTTGATGAGGAGAGTCACCTCCATATCTCTTTTATTTGATAAAATAATAAAAAATTGTCAAATATAATTTTACATGTGACATGGCGATGCTACAAGATCCTACTGATAGTGGAGTCAAAACTGCCTAATAGAATACTGGTCTGCCACACAAAAATCCGCTGAAGTCCCTTCGTAATCCAGTTAAATTGTATTTTTACCAGGAAAGTTGTGGGGTAGTTTTGATTTCTTTGATCCTATATGTTTTTTGGGGTGCTGAATCCGAATCTGAGGTTTGCCAACAAAATTTCATGACGCAACATTGAAAAAAATACAAAAGAAGTTGAAAAAGATATTTTTTTGGCAGTTTTGTGCTTACAACTTGAAAACTATCACCTTTTCGAAAATAACCTTCCTATTCAAAATTAAAGTACATAAAATTTCCTACAGATCCCACTATTTAGTTTTTTTCCTCGATAAACCGTTCGGGCTCAAGCGCCAGTTGAAAATTGGCGTATTTCGGCTATCTCCACAAAACATAGTTTTTTCGCACTAAAACCCTAAATTAATATTAACCGTTGTCAATAAGTGAATTCCTTGCATTTACCGACTATTATTTGAATTTCATATGTAAGGGTGGTTTTTTCTCATTCTTATAACATTCAAAGTGTTTATTGTAGTCCAGAATTGTATGAAAAGTTAATTTCTAACGAACAACACTATTATATTATTTATAATATATAATACTTATACTGTGCCATCTAAATCTATTCCCACTCTCTTCCGAACCAGATAAAGAAATCACAAAACCCTACCTTAGCATGTTTGGATAATTATTGTTGAATTTGGGAAATTGGCGCTGTGGTCATTATTAATTCAAAAAATTCAAATGGCAAAAGGGGGTATATTGATTTCCTATTCAACGGCATTATCCCTCTTGCTCCGGTGTTCTGAAGAATCACGTACTCCTCGGAGTGGGGTAACGCAATTACCCCAGCTTAAATTTGTCTGCTAACAACTGAACCCGATTTATTTCTTTTCTGTTTACATGTTAACCAGCGACAAAAAGCGAGTTCATGATTTTGGACTGTCCGTCCGTCCATCTGTGTAACTTTGTGAGGGTGTGTATGTATGTGAATGGGAGGAGGGTCTCCAGACTGCAAACGCAGGTACACGGTGACGTAATGGGCCTTGGCTCATCTGTGAAGGAGTGGTAGAGTTTTATACCAGACGGAACAGTTATAAAATCTTTTCAGGAGACCGGTAGACAATGAAAAGTACCGATTTATATTTGCACAGAATAATAATAAAATAATAATAAAAGATGAGTATTTGCGGATACAGCTGAAATACCCCAATTTTCAACTGGCGCTCGAGCCCGAACGGTTCATCGAGGAAAAAAACTAAATAGTGGGGTCTGTAGGAAATTTTATGTACTTTCATTTTGAATAGGAAAGTTTTTTCGAATAGTTGATAGTTTTCAAGTTGTAAGCACAAAACTGCCAAAAAAATATCTTTTTCAACTTCTTTTGTGTTTTTTTCAATGCTGCGTCAAGAAATTTTGTTGGCAAACCTCAGATTCGGATTCAGCACCCCAAAAAACATATAGAATCAAAGTAATCAAAACTACCCCACAACTTCCCGCTAGATGCCCGTTTGAGCACAAATGGCCTGTATTATTCGATCTCACACGAGGAATTTGTTAATTTTTGTCATCTCGGCCATTCATGAACCGAATTGCATGAAATTCAAACTGGGCATAGTCAGTACCATATTTTGGCTTTGGCACTTTTGATTATGTCTCGTTAGGGCTTCACTCGTGCATGTTCGAGTGTTAGCATATTCATATGATGTCTTTTATCTAAGAACAAGTTTCGCCAGGGTGCGAGCCTCCGCTAACAAACGCAATGAGAGAGGTCGGGTTCTAAGTTTTTTTTATAAAAATATTTAAAAATAGCAATCAATTTGCTGAACAACAACCTAAAATATGCATGGTTGATATACAAACAAAAAATGGAAAAATTCATGATTGAATAATTAGAAAACTTATGAAATTTAACATGTGCACCATATCACACAGAAAATACCTCCATCAAATTGCTCAATGTTTCGTTTTGAAGATTTACTTTTACGCGATATGATTTGCCAGAGTAACACAACAGATACCACGCATCCTTACAGCACTCGGCACCCAAGATTTCAAAAGTTGTCTAAATACTGAATCACGAATTTCTTCCTTGATCCTTGAAAGTCCTAAGAGACGATTTGCTAATCCCAAAGGCTCTAATAGATTAGCGGAT